ATAGGTATAGAACAAATTTCGCGATATGAGCAGCTACATCTCACCCAGTGTATGCACCATGAATGAAGTATCAGCTAACTCACAAAAGGCTCCATTGGCATTTGCCAGCTAAAAACATCTGTGGTGCCGCATCGACTTCCAGTTATCTGTGAAGGTCTGAGTACATGCTGCAGGGGTTAGGCACAGAGACTAAACCGGTGTTCCGACATTACTATCTTCTACGCAATGCCTGAATCTGGTGGGAAGACCGGACAAACAATATCGAGGTTGGAGTTAGTCTTAGGTGGTCTGGGTCATCTACTGTAGTAAGTGATTGACCTCCATCGATTACGTTGTTTGGGGCATGTGTAACACATGTCACCAAATAGATTACCACGGTCCGCGATGAGTATCGATGTAGGTAGTGGATGGAAAAAGGCAACCGTGGTGGAACTGAGACCTGGTATGAGTGTGTAAAAATCCTGACCTGGAGACTTGTTCACATAGGTCGCGTTAAGCTTCCTGAATGGGGACATCGGTATCAGCGTAATCGATGATTAGAGATACTGAGTGATATGGCTGAGTGGCGCTCATGCGACTTCGGTTCTCATGATTTGTTTTTCTATTTTCACCCAGACACTTACTTGAACATTCCAACCTTTCGTTTACCGCTTAATCGAAATGGGTAGTGATGAGGGAACAAAAGAAACCGACCCGCAAAGTGTATTGTTCACGGCTGTAAAAACTGAAAGCCAAATGCAGAGGGTCGGATTGTAGTAGTGGTGACACTGTGGAAAACGCCTGATATCCTTTCACAACGATTCAAAAGGAAGCAGTATGTTCAAACCTGGAAGATATTCTAAGTCGCGTCAGAATTTCTCTCTAAAGCAATCTCATGCATTTTCGGGCTTCTTGGAATGTTACTTCTACGTTTTTTGTATACTCTATACTCTGGAAGCGAGACAAAATAATCCAGCAACCCATGCAACATCAGCTGCATCCGGTGCAGATAAAATGGAAAGCAATCTAAGCAAGCGAGTGATATTTATGCTTTTGTGCTCACTGTGCTGAGGTAACGGGTCCATAGCGATCCTCAGTTAGGATGACGGCGTTGCACAGTATCAATGGTGATGATTAGACCCAATTCGAGCCAAACGGCTGTACGACGAATGCTTCCCGGTTTCTCCGTTTACACTTTACCTGTTCTGTGTAGGATTAAATTATGCGTTCCGTCAACTTAACCAACTCCGTAGTCGCTTGAAAAACAACCCACACTCGGTAATCTGTCAATCACGAAACAGGTTCAGATTGACAGATTGAACACGTCCAGACTGGTCCCAGACAACCAGTACCGTATTTTTTTATTTGTCAGTGTTCCGTGGCAGCAGCTCATTCGCGTCAAAATCATCAAAACACGTTTAGACTATCCAATTTCAAGAGGAACTGAATCACTATTAGCATCGATATAATCTGATCGCCCGAACAGTACGTCTCACAAACAGCATCAAGTTCTTAGTTGTTTAGTTTTAATCAATACACCACTCGATATCCAGGTTGATGTGTCGTAAGTAGCTAGTGCTATACCTATATACTCCGGGGCCTAATTATCCCCCGATCAGGAGGAACACAAATTGTTGTGAGATACTACTCATTTGAAAGTCATCGGTAACACTGCAGATTTAATTATTTATTTTAATTAAAAAACCATCGAGGGCAAATTGCTACATCTCAGAGAATAACTATTAATTGCTACGTTCATTACCCGACGTGCGGCTAGGAACTGCGATGGTATTTTTCCGATGAGATTTTGTGTTATGTATGCCAAATTAGTGATGTCCTCGACCAGCACCGCCTTCTGGGATTATAACAAAATCACTGAAGCTGAGTATAATCCTACTGAATCGATCGACAAGGCAAACACAAAATACATACAGTTCAATAAAACATTGAGTCGACTAACATTTGTCAAGTCGTTGGCACAGCTGACTGATCACGTGCGATTCGATGCGAATGAGTTGTCATCATTTGCACCACTTGCTGCGGTCTGATTTGAAATCTCACCCCATCGGTATATCACTGCTCGAGTTTATGTCACTGCAGCCAGCTCATCTAGGTGGGCGTGAAAAATCTTATTTCAAATCTCCCGGACATCCTGTTCATCATAGTTATCAGATCGATCGGACACCCTGGGCGTGCCGGTGGATAATGAGGAATTCCACATATTCCGTGTTCTTATGCGCGGCTTGTGTCACTCATACGGTAACACCCATCGCAAATGCACCTGCAGCGTACAATCCATTGGGCGAGACCGCCGTTACATGTCTACGTAATATAACCATATCAATTCCATAGCACGCAAAGTGATGAAACAGTTGGTGAATAAGATATTCCTGATCCTCAGTGATTCAGTTTAGGCGTAATGCAGATGTAAACATTTGTTCAAGTATCCGAAATGCCTCCAAAAACTGCGGTACAAATCTTCAGTGTGAAGTGCATGAACCGCACAGACGATCTAGCTCTCGGACTGAAAGGAAACAACGCGCGTCCTTATGCGGGTTTTCCCGCCAGCCGAAAATGGTACGTGTGTGTGTGGATGGGTGGAACCGGGCAAACAGAAGATAGCTGAGTGGAAAACAGTACTCAGTAGGATCAGGGAAATGAGCGCGGTATGCGTTCATGATCGAAAAGTCGTCGCGAACCGACCAGTGCATGACGGGAATTTCTAGTCTGATTTCATCAGAGATTACTGTGTTTTTACCACAACAAAAACTATGAAAAACTGTATATTAGTTCAAAGAAATAGAGTACGATACGTTAGGGACGTCAGAAACGTGTGAGATGAACACCGACCTGAATGCTATTTTTCCGATTGACATGTTGTATTTAACACCAATGGCAGCGGCTTTTCGAGGTATGCAAACAGTCGATTGCGGATGACAAGAATCCAATTCGAATAGTCTTCGATAAGCACGTTACAAGTGGACGGAGCAAAAGGAATAAAAACAAAAGCGGGACATTTGGGGGTTGGCAAGCAAACGAGAAAGAACAATATGCCATCGATAACTACTCCGCCCTGCCGCCCCCCCCCCACAAAAAAAACCCCTCATCCGCGCCAAATGGACTGTCAATTTTCATAGAGCTTATCTACGAAAAAGTGCAACACATCGCCTATGATGTTCAGTGACACTTTACAGCCGGACAGTTGTGAGATTTGACGAATGGCTCCAAACCTGACTTGCGGATACAGCAATCCCTTTCTTTTTTTTTAAGAAGCGATCACGTCTCACACAGATTGAAGAACCAGTTGAGAATTGGATGAACGATTTCGCATTTCAGCACAGAATTGTCATCACACACACCTCTACCATCCATGATGCACATGCCACCGGTACTCGGAAGTACCGTGAACTAGAAACAACAATATTCTGATGCATATTATTCACATGGTATTTGCGACAGCAACAAAAGTGGTCATAATAATAATAATAAGAATAGCAATAACAGTACTAATCATAACGAACAAAGGCATGAGAGTGCCAAACAGGCAATCGTATAGTGTGCTTGTGTGTGTGTGAGAGAGCCGGGCTGGGACGGTTTGCCCGATCAGCCTGAGTGTATGAGCAAGCAGATCAGAGAGGGACAGAAAAAGTCACGAGCGTATTCTATTAGCAAAGTGAAACTGACAAAGAGGAGGTGTGACCGGAGGTGGGGTTGGGTAGTTTAGTGGGTACACAGGGTAACCGCGCAATGGACGGACGCGATACGAGAATTGTACGAGGTTTAGTACAATAATCACCATTAACAATTCGGGATTTGGCAAGCAACATAGCTAGACGGGGCGGGGGGGGGGACAGTGGAGNAGGATGGATTAATGAATCACGCACACCCCACTCTCTGGGAGAGCAGAGGGAGGACAGACAATAGTGTAGTCCCATTAAATGGTGCGTGAATACAGTGAAAGACCGATAACTGGGTAAATTGACAGATGGACTGACGACCGAGCGACTAATGCAACGAGCAGAGCGAGCGAGAGAGGAGGCTTCGCGAGTGTTTACACAGACCAGTTTTGTCTAGTGTTCTTCCCGGTCCCAACCGAAGAAGACATGGCACACCAACTAGTGCATTGATGCGCAGGGCGGGTGGGCTAAGACCGGTACTTGGTAAACATGAATCGCGTGAAACAGATCTGGACAAAACAGAATCCCAATTCTACCCGGGTCGCTGCTGCTGTTGTCGGGTTTGACTAGAACGAAGCACATTATACATGTTTAAGCTTGTGTGTTCCCTCTCCCCTTCGCTCCTCTCCCGATCCCTAACAAGATCTCAGTCACGAGGAGGAGTCATGACAACAAAACGCAGAGAGGTAGAGAGAGATGAGCGAACGGGAACTGTACAAAATAATGGTCAATAAGTTGTGGATGGAGAAAAGAAAATCGAGAGTCGGGGTATTGTTGGAATAAAAACGCGGACACCGGAAGGCGAGAGTGCAGTTGAAAACAAAATGAAGATCAGATGTGTTGTGATTGAGACAAGGATGGAAAAAAGCCAAAAGACGAGTTGTACATATATAGAGGACAGAAGAAAAACAACAACAACTGGCATGATTCCTAGGAGATCGTGGCAAATGCGGATAGTGGCGTGAAGAGAGACAGAGATAGAGAGAGAGAGTGGGATAAAAACATCGAAATGTCCTGAATTAGTCCATGGGTTCTCATGTGCTCTGGACGTGGCTGGACCACGTGAAAAGACTGAAAATGCAAAAAAATTGGTCGAGATTAGGAGCACAGAGAGATAAACAAAACAAAAAATAAATGGAGTAAGCGGGGCGGGCGGGGGGCAGGAGAAGAAATATGGAACCTTCCCCCCTTAAAAAAAATGGAACATAAATTGGACGAATTTGGTTTTCAAAAAGAAAAATGGAGTCAAAGAAATCACCAGGATAAGGTGAGAGAATAAAGGCATTGCAGGCATTCTGCGAGTTGATTGTCATGGACCAGAGCAAGTGAACGAGGGAGATGGGTCTACAACTGTACAGGAAATGAGACCATTTGTTCGGACACCGGAAGCGTTTGAGATGAGGCATTCGGTGCCTCGCCAGATCTTTGGGAGGAATTGGTGGGCATACCGGACCGCGAACTAGCTGGTGTATGGGACCCACTCGAGGCACCGGCAGCAGCACCTCGACTAGGGTCTGATGACCGGTGATGGTAGCGACGACGATGTGAGTGATGATGATGATGATGATGTGGATGATGCTGGTACGTTCGATTGGACGGAGCACGAGATCGTCTACCACCACCAGACGCAGACGAGTCCACCGCGGGACGATGCTGCGATGGAGCAGAATGCGAATCGGAGAGTGGACCAGGAGGTCCGTCCGCATGCAAGATACGGCGATGAGCGTGTGAACGTAATTTACGTCCATGCGAGCTACCACTGCCAGTTGTGGTCGATCCCGGACCACAAGAGTAACCCCGGAATCGCATCGACGAGTCCTCGCCAGACAACGGCTGAGCCAGTTCCCCTAGGTATAGAATACCTCCGTTAGATACGAGATCACCAGAAGTACACCCTCGGGGTGGAGCGCCGGTCATCATCCCACCACCGGTAGAAATAGTCTCCACAGGTGTGTTAGTATGGAGAACAGAATTTCCACCACCGCTGAGCTGATGTCCAAACAGTATCCCGTTAGATCCTATGTGACAAAGGTCGGTCGCACTGGCGCTGACAACACCATCAATGCTTCCCCCGGCAGTCATCAGACCAGATTCCGGGGCAACCGGACCACGAGAAAGCCACGCGGCATGGCTAGACGCATGAACACCGGGACCTCCACCACCGCTGGTAGTACCAGTACGACTGCTACTGGCTGTGACACTGCTAGCCGGTGGCACTGTACACGCACCGTATGGAGGAGGGGGAGTATAACTGCACGGATCCGTACCGGAAGTATCTGAAACGGAGAAGTGAAAAGGCCGATAAGGAGCTTTTTCACCTTGTACAATCTACATTCCGAGCCAAGTTTAGTAGACACAACAGACAGCACAGCGAACAGTGTCAGATATCGCACAACCGAATAAGTGACCAATACGTACCAATATCACTGTTCTCTGCTACTTAGCACAAAGTTGGAGCGATGTGGCAGCAGAATTTTAGTCGAGCTCATGTTAGAGGGAAACTGAGTTTTTCCCACAATCTGCACCAACCTGGTTCAGACCTACTAGTTGACTCTCTGCAGGCAACCACCGAGGTCAGCCAACACTTGTTTGTGTCCTATTAGGAGCATACGGTGAGCAATGACGAGGTTCACCGTTGTGAAGTAGATGCTGAGCGTTCGTTCGCTAAAAGAGGAGAACGCCCTATAGCACGTTTAATCATTTGACATGTTGCTCTCCTCATCCTCCAACATTCTGTGCTTCCTTGCTTGCAAACAAGCCTGGTATCAACGTTACAATAATAATAACAACAACAGGGCATGTGGATGGTTGATATACAAAACAGAGTTAAATCGAGATTAAACGGTTAGCGCAGATTTTTTTATTACACACCGTTGTGTGATGAACAGTAGACGGGGGCAACTCCATAGTCACGAGAACTTGCTGTTCAGTGATGGAAACCGGTAACCTAAGCCCCGGGACTTGGAGTGGTGAATCAAACAGATAGATAGAAAGAATAATAAATTTTTTGTTTATTCACCGGTTTACCTATTGATATTTTGTGTTATTCTAATGTTTCTTTATATATATATATATATATATATATATATATATATGATACCTCCGAAGCATTGCTCGTGTCCGGTGGG